GCGAAAAACAACATGAGAATCACTTGTTACAGCGAGTAGTAGCCACCAATGGCCAACTAATGTCCGGACTCGTTCACTCTCATATGATGTAGATAAGAAATCTTATATACAATAGATAATAAAAAATAGGATACGCCAACGATTGTAGTTTCTACATGTGAGTGACTAGTGTTGTTTGTTTAAGAATCCCAGTGGCTGGTACAGACAAAAAAGACATCCGCCACGTCAGCAGTACAGATACGTTGATGAGTAGCTCGCGTTGTTTGTTGGAGCCTGTGAGAAGCTCTTACAAAGGCAAAATACCAGAAGTCGAACAGCATTAGTAAACACGTTCCTATTTGGGGGGCCAATATGGTATTTCAACAGCTGATTCAGCACTTGGAGAGAGATGTGGCAAGTACATCCCCTGGAGAGAGATGTGGCAAGTACATCGCCTGGAGAGAGATGTGGCAAGTACATCGCCTGGAGAGAGATGTGGCTAGTACATCGCCTGGAGAGAGATGTGGCAAGTACATCGCCTGGAGAGAGATGTGGCAAGTACATCGCCTGGAGAGAGATGTGGCAAGTACATCGCCTGGAGAGAGATGTGGCAAGTACATCGCCTGGAGAGAGATGTGGCAAGTACATCGCCTGGAGAGAGATGTGGCAAGTACATCGCCTGGAGAGAGATGTGGCAAGTACATCGCCTGGAGAGAGATGTGGCAAGTACATCGCCTGGCATTGACACTTTCTAGCACATTTCCTGGTCATCTTTTAGTTTCAGTTGACATCTGCCCCTAGGTCGATTGTATCAATCTGAACTAGAGAGGATGCCAACCTGTGACCACCTCACAAACAAACTTCTGAAACCAGACCAACAAACATATGACCAACGAACAAACAAACCTGCTAGAGCATATCTGCCTCTCCAGCTGACACGATGTGCAGCATGTAGGGTACTCAACTAAGTCCATTGATAAAACAATTCATCTGAGCCAAGCAGTGTGCTGCCAACAAAATGAATGCAGGAAGTGATGTCTTGTATGGACACTACACCAGGGATAACTGATGTACGGCAGTAAGTGATGTCTTGTATGGACACTACGCCAGCGATAACTGATGTACGGCAGTACGTGATGTCTTGTATGGACACTACACCAGGGATAACTGATGTACGGCAATAAGTGATGTCTTGTATGGACACTACACCAGGGATAACTGATGTACGGCAGTACGTGATGTCTTGTATGGACACTACACCAGCGATAACTGATGTACGACAATAAGTGATGTCTTGTATGGACACTACACCAGGGATAACTGATGTACGGCAGTACGTGATGTCTTGTATGGACACTACACCAGGGATAACTGATGTACGGCAGTACGTGATGTCTTGTATGGACACTACGCCAGCGATAACTGATGTACGGCAGTAAGTGATGTCTTGTATGGACACTACACCAGGGATAACTGATGTACGGCAATAAGTGATGTCTTGTATGGACACTACACCAGGGATAACTGATGTACGGCAGTAAGTGATTGCTCTCCCACCCCACACCTTTTTTTTTCTTTCCCCAACACAAACGATATTTGTACGGGGGGTGGGGGGGGGGGGTCTATTGTTTAGATAAAATGAGAAGTTTCCAGAGAAAATAGATGTGGATGCCGTTTATTCTTCCACTTCCTCAGTTCCAAAAGATTTGCAGGAGCAATCTTCGTTTTGACATTTAAAAGAAATACACACATACATACACAAACATACAACAGCTACTACTACTACTACACTCAAAGCGTCCGGTGGGAACTGACAGGAAACGGAAGTTTCCACTGCCGTGGCTGGATTTGTTTTTTAGTACCCACTGTTCCGGGCTCAAGCCTAGGTGATGGCTGGGAATTTTCTTTTTCCTGTTTACGTGGGCTTCTAGTAATTTTCCCTGGTCTCTGGGTAGTAAGATCCGTGTGTATTAATGATAATCCCATGGCAGTTGGAAATCGAAAAGAGTAGCCTAAGGGCGCTGCCCAGGCAAAATGTGGGGTTAAAAATCTAACAACAATATTTTAGGATCCTCACCGGTGCTACGGAGCCCGTGCACCGCGCTGAGCTACTTCGTACTTAGACTTGAGTTAGAACTAGAATGGAGCACTTATGAATAACTAACCTTGTGCCGAGTTGTTGATCCGTTGTTTAAACTTCAGACTAGTGGCCACTGACCAAATGTAACAATTGAGGAGACAACGCGATACCTTGGACCGATGAAGCTGACACGATGTGCAGCATGTAGGGTACTCAACTAAGTCCTTTCTGTTATACTTGTTAGGAGAGTGTCTGGCTTAGACCTTTTAGAGAAGCCATTAGGTATAATTTATGTGATAACACTATTTATAAGAGAATGTTTCAACAGATGCGATTTGGTGGCGTAGGATCAATGTAAGGGGAGATTACTTGAGAATCATTGCTGTAACATCTCCAGCAATCATCCCCTGGACATGTGTTGTGGTCACTTGTTGCTGGTTGACATCACTTGAGAACCATTGCTGTACTGTCTCTAACAAACATCCCCTGGACATGTTTTGTGGTCACTTGTTGCTGGTTGACATCACTTGAGAACCATTGCTGTAACATCTCCAGCAATAATCCCCTGGACATGTGTTGTGGTCACTTGTTGCTGGTTGAGATCATTTGAGAACCATTGCTGTTTTGTCTCTAACAAACATCCCCTGGACATATGTTGTGGTCACTTATTGCTGGTTGAGATCATTTGAGAACCATTGCTGTACTGTCTCTAACAAACATCCCTTGGACATGTGATGTGATCACTTGTTACTGTAACTGGCTTAAGGGAGCCTACTAAAACTTTTTCAAATCATGTTCTACCTACATATAACTCTTCTAATCAATTTCAGGTTTTCACCCTAATGGACTTAATTATTCTTAAATATGTTTATGTAAGTTCTGGTATATTCCGATTGTACTCCAGTCATGTGTCTTATGGCATGGCTGTGTGTAAACGACATATTAAAACGTGTCTTTGTTTAACTTGAACGTATCTCTTTCTCGGACTTCAGGACACTAGCCTATCTCAATCAAAACCTTTTGTTTCTCGCAATCATTGATAAAACAATTCATCTGAGCCAAGCAGTGTGCTACCAACGAAATGAATGCAGGAAGTGATGTCTTGTATGGACACTACACCAGAGATAACTGATGTACGGCAGTAAGTGATGTCTTGTATGGACACTACACCAGAGATAACTGATGTACGGCAGTAAGTGATGTCTTGTATGGACACTACACCAGCGATAACTGATGTACGGCAGTAAGTGATGTCTTGTATGGACACTACACCAGAGATAACTGATGTACGGCAGTAAGTGATGTCTTGTATGGACAATACACCAGCGATAACTGATGTACGGCAGTAAGTGATGTCTTGTATGGACACTACACCAGGGATAACTGATGTACGGCAGTCAGTGATGTCTTGTATGGACACTACACCAGGGATAACTGATTTACGGCAGTACGTGATGTCTTGTATGGACACTACACCAGGGATAACTGATGTACGGCAGTCAGTGATGTCTTGTATGGACACTACACCAGGGATAACTGATTTACGGCAGTCAGTGACGTGTTGGAGGAAGATGACACCAGAAACAACTGGTGAACTATGCGCCACTAATTTGAAACGTCTCCTTTGTTAATATTTTTTCTGACATGCATCCAGTTGCAGTTAGTTTTCTGACGGGGACACAGTTGCACTTAGTTTTCTGACGGGGACACAGTTGCAGTTAGTTTTCTGACGGGGACACAGCTGCACTTAGTTTTCTGACGGGGACACAGTTGCACTTAGTTTTCTGACGGGGACACAGCTGCACTTAGTTTTCTGACGGGGACACAGTTGCAGTTAGTTTTCTGACGGGGACACAGTTGCAGTTAGTTTTCTGACGGGGACACAGCTGCACTTAGTTTTCTAACAGGGAGACAGTTGCAGTTAGTTTTCTGACAGGGACACAGTTGCAGTTAGTTTTAAGGCAGGTAAACAGCTTTACTTAGTTTCTGGCAGGGACACAGTTGCACTTAGTTTTCTGACGGGGACACAGTTGCACTTAGTTTTCTGACGGGGACACAGTTGCACTTAGTTTTCTGACGGGGACACAGCTGCACTTAGTTTTCTGACGGGGACACAGTTGCAGTTAGTTTTCTGACGGGGACACAGCTGCACTTAGTTTTCTGACGGGGACACAGTTGCAGTTAGTTTTCTGACGGGGACACAGTTGCACTTAGTTTTCTGACGGGGACACAGCTGCACTTAGTTTTCTGACGGGGACACAGTTGCAGTTAGTTTTCTGACGGGGACACAGTTGCAGTTAGTTTTCTGACGGGGACACAGCTGCACTTAGTTTTCTAACAGGGAGACAGTTGCAGTTAGTTTTCTGACAGGGACACAGTTGCAGTTAGTTTTAAGGCAGGTAAACAGCTTTACTTAGTTTCTGGCAGGGACACAGTTGCACTTAGTTTTCTGACGGGGACACAGCTGCACTTAGTTTTTTAACGGGGACACAGCTGCACTTAGTTTTTCTGACGGGGACACAGCTGCACTTAGTTTTCTGACGGGTACACAGTTGCACTTAGCTTTCTGGCAGGGCCACAGTTGCACTTAGTTTTCTGATAGGGACACAGCTGCCCTTAGTTATCTGCAATTGACACAGCTGCACTTAGTTTTCTGACGGGGACAAAGTTGCACTTAGTTTTATGACAGTGACACAGTTGCACTTAGCTTTCTGAGGGGTACACAGCTGCACTTAGTTTTCCTCGCAGAAGTATAGAAACCCTTCTATTTGCTATCCCCATGCACGCACGCACACACTGGCACATGCACACACGCACACCCTTGCACATGCACACACACACACACTGGCACAAGTTTTGTTGGTCTTTCAGAAAATACTGCCACACGGTTTTGATATTCCAGGGAAGACTAAACTCGCGACTCCTTCCGGTTTCCCCGTAGTCATACTTTGATGTTCTCCTCGTGAGTTGTGGTTGTGACCGTGCGAGGCACGTGCTCTCTGAGGATGAGCAGCTCGGAGGTGGAGGTGATCAAACTCCGCCGCCTCTCACACAGAGGTTTGATGTAAATATTGAAGAACTTTTCCCGGAATTGCTGGCTCATGACACAGTACAGGACAAAGTTGATGGCGTTATTTAACAAGGCAACGAAGTCCATCAAATCACCCAAGGGATAATTGATTTCGTCGTAAAAGCCAGGCACGGTAGCACTCAGGATAATAAATGTTCCTTGTGGAAGCTCGGTAAAGAGGAACATGACAAGTACGGCCAGCAACATCCTGGTTGTCTTGATGTGTTGGGAGGACGAGGCTAGTCTCTGGCGCCTTCGAGTTGTCTTTATGCCCATGTTGTAAAGAAGGGAGCCGCTGAAGATCAAGATCAGAACACAGGGCAGGAGTTTCCCCAACACAGCGTACGTCAACATGTTGGTAAAGACAACCAGTTCCGCTTGAGGCGTTCCTATCTTCATTTCCTTGATTCCAAAAGTTGAGGCGTTGATGTTCGGTACCAGATTCCGCTCTATCTCGTTAGACACATAATTGGGTATCATCACCAGAATGGATGTTAAATAGACAATTGCGGTAGCGATCTTCACTTGTCGTATCCGGCGCTCTTTCGCCAGAGGTCCCCGAGGGCAAGGCGAGCGGATTTGTGTGAAGCGAAAGGCGGCCAGCGTCACGGCTAACCAGATAGAGATGATGTGGGTTGTTGCCAGAAAATGCACCATTATGAGAATGTAGAGAATCCAGCCGTAGGAATACTTCCATGGCGACTCCACTGGGCTTGTGGCCGGGCAGTAGAAGTTGATAGCATAGGGAATGTAAGGAACCATCGTTAGAATGTCGGCAACTGCCAGAAAGGTCAACAAATGGTTGGTAGCTGTGCGCATATCCTTGGCCATGAGTACTGTGATATTGAAGATGTTGGTAAAGATTCCAAACAAACAAACAACGATGCTGGCGTATCCATGAACTTCCAGAAACCATTCGTGGAAGAGCTGCAAATAACCAGACGGCTGGATGTGTAGGTGAGGATGCTGACCGGTATGCGAGAGGTTGTGCTCAGTTGACTGCACCTCCTCCAGGTCGGCACGCTGGATTACGGCCCCTGTGAGAGTCTCTGCCTGGTAGTGGGTAACATTGATCATGTCAAAGTGGCTGTACGGGTGGTAGATAATCATTCTCAAAGGTTCATCTGATAACCACCGGTTAAATGTGAGACGCCTCTTTCTACAGACAAATTGATAATTTATTATTTGTTGTTCACAGGTTCATTCAGCGAAATAGATCACATATGTGCGCAAACATGCAAGCTTATCATTACCGGGAGCAAACAATTCTCCAGTCGTGGTCTGTCTTACTTGTGGTTTCCTGGCCAGCGGAAGATGTCAAAGTTAGATTGGTAACACTCGAGATGTTTGCTGGTGTAACCAGGGCAGCGCCCACAATTATCAGTCTCGCTAGAGCTGACGGTAAGGCGAGATTTTTCCTGGTCTAAATGTTCTTGGACATAAGAGGGAATGACCGGTCAAGTCCGTGCTGAGTGTTGGCTAGTGACCGGTCAAGTCTGTGCTGAGTGTGGCAAGTGACCGGTCAAGTTTGTGCTGCGTGATTACTGGTGACCGGTCAAGTCAGTGCTAAGTGTTGGCGAGTTACTGGTCAAGTCTGTGCTGGGTGTTGGCGAGTTACTGGTCAAGTCTGTGCTGAGTGTTGGCGAGTTACTTCTCAAGTCTGTGCTGGGTGTTGGCGAGTTGCTGCTCAAGTCTGTGCTGAGTGTTGGCGAGTTACTGGTCAAGTCTGTGCTGAGTGTTGGCGAGTTACTGGTCAAGTCTGTGCTGGGTGTTGGCGAGTTACTGCTCAAGTCTGTGCTGGGTGTTGGCTAGTTGCTGGTCAAGTCTGTGCTGCGTGTTGGCGAGCTACTGGTCAAGTCTGTGCTGCGTTTTGGCGAGTTACTGGTCAAGTCTGTGTTGAGTGTTGGCTAGTTGCTGGTCAAGTCTGTGTTGAGTGTTGGCTAGTTGCTGGTCAAGTCTGTGTTGAGTGTTGGCTAATTGCTGGTCAAGTCTGTGTTGAGTGTTGGCTAGTTACCGGTTAAGTCTGTGCTGGGTGTTGGCGAGTTACCGGTTAAGTCTGTGCTGGGTGTTGGCTAGTTACCGGTTAAGTCTGTGCTGGGTGTTGGCTAGTTACCGGTTAAGTCTGTGCTGGGTGTTGGCTAGTTACCGGTTAAGTCTGTGCTGGGTGTTGGCTAGTTACTGGTTAAGTCTGTGCTGGGTGTTGGCAAGTGACCGGTCAAGTCTGTGCTGCGTGTTGGCTAGTTGCTGGTCAAGTCTGTGCTGCGTGTTGGCTAGTTACTGGTTAAGTCTGTGCTGGGTGTTGGCGAGTTACCGGTTAAGTCTGTGCTGCGTGTTGGCTAGTTGCTGGTCAAGTCTGTGCTGCGTGTTGGCTAGTTGCTGGTCAAGTCTGTGCTGCGTGTTGGCTAGTTACTGGTTAAGTCTGTGCTGGGTGTTGGCGAGTTACCGGTTAAGTCTGTGCTGCGTGTTGGCTAGTTGCTGGTCAAGTCTGTGCTGCGTGTTGGCTAGTTACTGGTTAAGTCTGTGCTGGGTGTTGGCGAGTTACCGGTTAAGTCTGTGCTGGGTGTTGGCTAGTTACTGCTCAAGTCTGTGCTGGGTGTTGGCGAGTTACCGGTTAAGTCTGTGCTGCGTGTTGGCGAGTTACTGGTTAAGTCTGTGCTGGGTGTTGGCTAGTTACCGGTTAAGTCTGTGCTGCGTGTTGGCGAGTTACCGGTTAAGTGTGCTGGGTGTTGGCAAAGACAGGCTGCTCAGTGGGGCTGTAATTATTATATCTCGTGGCAAACTGTTACTGGAAGCGATAAAGGGTTGAGAAGGTTCACCTTCGCATTGAAAAGGAAATGCATTATCAAAGGCAGTGCTTGAAGCCAGAGTAATGTAGATTTCAATTATTCAACAAACAAACACGAGATGGGGACTAAAGACACCAATGAGAGCACGCGATGATGAAAACATGATAGGTACATTCGATATTTGTCGAGGCGTTGTCGAGTTGGAGAATGTAATTCAGTCATCTGCGCCAACACCATAGGGATTTCCCAGACGTTGTGAGTGGGATTTGCTATGTAATTACAGTCTGCGAAATTGAGGAGAAGTTGTAAGTCTGTCCACTGATTATTACACCGTTACAGCTGCTCATGTATCGCCAACATTTCATCTTCTGTTTTTTGGGGGGTTTTTGGTTTTGTAATTTCACTTCCTGGTTTCAAATTCTATAATTCCGATGACTTAGAAAATGTATTAGCAATGTCTGTTTTTTTTTTTTTTTTTTTAAATTGTCTGCTCATCGAGTGTAATGCTGAGGAAATGCACGTATTTACTTGATGACAGATTCATCATTTACGTGTCAGATATTTACTGAGGCCTCATGAAATATGTGTTCTGTGACGACATATCACTTCAGTCTCGTAATCACATCTGGAATGTCAGTATCTAAAGGCAGGTTATCAGTCTCCAAAGTCAGTCAATGTGCTGTATAACAACAAGAGAAGAATCTCAATGGATTTACAAGTCAGCTGAGTGCTAATGTCAATGGACGTCCAAGCTGTAGTTAATGCATCACAGCCGACCTTGCAGTTCCTCAGTCGTAAGCCAGCAGTCAGCGACACCTGCGACAGAATGAAAAAAAAAACATATATTATGTAGTAACACTTACAACTTTAAAGTAAGCACATCGCATGTATTTTAACGTTGGCAGACCTTCAACATTTCCGTATGTTCAAAACAAGAGCAGGAATAATCTGTCACTCTAACATCTATGAGATGAGACCTTCAGCATGTCCGCATGATCTGTTCACTGCAACATCCTGGAGATGAGACCTTTAGCATGTCCACATGATCTGTTCACAGCAACATCCAGGAGATGAGACCTTTAGCATGTCCACATGATCTGTTCACAGCAACATCCAGGAGATGAGACCTTTAGCATGTCCACATGATCTGTTCACAGCAACATCCAGGAGATGAGACCCTTAGCATGTCCACATGATCTGTTCACAGCAACATCCTGGAGATGAGACCTTTAGCATGTCCACATGATCTGTTCACAGCAACATCCAGGAGATGAGACCTTTAGCATGTCCACATGATCTGTTCACAGCAACATCCAGGAGATGAGACCTTTAGCATGTCCACATGATCTGTTCACTGCAACATCCTGGAGATGAGACCTTTAGCATGTCCACATGATCTGTTCACAGCAACATCCAGGAGATGAGACCTTTAGCATGTCCACATGATCTGTTCACAGCAACATCCAGGAGATGAGACCCTTAGCATGTTCGCATGATCTGTTTACTGCAACATCCAGGAGATGAGACCTTTAGCATGTCCACATGATCTGTTCACAGCAACATCCAGGAGATGAGACCCTTAGCATGTTCGCATGATCAATTCACTGCAACATCCAGGAGATGAGACCTTCAGCATGTCCGCATGATCAATTCACTACAACATCCAGGAGATCGGGCTTTGATTTCGCCTTTGTGGCCAAGTTGTTGGGTCGTTGACCCCGCCCACTGAAGGTCAGTGGTGTGGTCTCACAGTGTGTTGTTCTGTTTCCACAGATGTTTGTGTTAGAGATGCCTATTTCATAAAATCCCTGTTTCAGTTATCCCTTTCACAGTTCCCTGCGTTAGAGAGACCTGTTTTATGTATCCCTGAGTCAGAGATCTTTGTTTTACAGATCCTCGTGTCAGTGATACCTGATTTATATATGTATCCCTCTGTCAGTTGTCAGAGTTTCTGAGATACCTGTCTCACATATACATGTGTAAGAAATCTGTTTCAGATATTTCTGTTTCATAGGTCTACGTTTCTGAGATCTATGTTTCAGAGATCTATGTTTCAGAGACCTGTGTTTCAGAGATCTATGTTTCAGAGATCCCTGGTTCAGAGATCCCTGTTTCGGAGATATCTGTTTCAGAGATCCCTGTTTCAGATATCCAGATTTCGGTGATCCATTAGGTCATCGCTGACACTACAGGGCCTTGTAGTTTGTACACCATTTGTAGAGATTCAGGAAGCGTTGCTAGAGAGCAAGCCATGTGTGGGGTCATACCCGGGTCTGGCTTCTCAGTCTGTCTGTACGAGACAGTCGGTAGATAATTCTAGTTCAAATCTAGAGCTGTCATTCCATATCCCTAATGTTTAAACCCCAGGAGTTAATATCATGATACTGTGAGACAGAAGGAGTTAATATCATGATACTGTGGGACAGAAGGAGTTAATATCATGATACTGTGGGACTGAAGGAGTTAATAACATGATAATGTGGGACAGAAGGAGGTAATATCATGATACTGTGGGACTGAAGGAGTTAATATTATGATACTGTGGAACAGAAGGAGTTAATATCATGATACTGTGGGACTAAAGGAGTTCATGCGAAAACTGACATAGGCGTGTGGAAAAGACTTAGATTTTAAAGAGTTAACAAAAACATTTTGCAATGTGAATGGTAAAAACCAAAACTGTCGTCTACGTCAATGTAAACCGGCCTGCCGCCAAATACTTTACAGCCGAATCAAGGCCCGGTTGTTGGAATTATAAAACCGATTTCGTAAGCTTCTAGACCAGGAAGATCGACAGCCGTAGCTGACCGGGAACTGATCGGGAACTGACCGGTAACTGATCGGGAACTGACCGGGAACTGATCGGGAACTGACCGGGAGCTGACCGGGAACTGACCGGGAACTGATCGGGAACTGACCGTCAGTGGTTTGAGAGGGTAACCATCAACAAATACTGTGAATTTAGCAGATACCTGGGTAAGAAACGAACAATATCGCAGCTCTGCTGTAAACAGGCTAAAAGCAATAATTCCTTCTCCCCTCCCTCAAATTAGAACACTTAGTAAGAAAACAGGATATCAGTGAGAAAGAAACCACACAGAAGTAATGTAGTTTGTCTACGGGGGGCCTAGAGTAATGAACAACCGGCTCCAGGCTTGGATGACAAGGGGAATTATTCGGATACATTTGCGGACCGACACAGGTCGCTTCTCGCGCTCCCGAATCTCACCCACTATAGCCGTCACGGGTGACCTAATTACAGTTTCCTTCGAGTACGAACGGGTTTTTAGG